TAAAAACGTCAATAAACCAAGGAAAAAAACAATCTACATTTTCTGTATATCTAATGACTAATATTGGAAATACACAAAAGCAAAATTTGACAAAATTGCAATCCTACCAAAGAAAGCAATTTAAACATATATCTCAGTAGCTGATAAAAGAGACAAAAAACAATGAGCACAGACATAGAAGATTTGTATCTCCATCTGTCTATATATCAAATTAACTAGCTTGACCTAATGGGTAGGAAAACACCACCACCAGGTGGGGCCCCCAGGGCTCAGCCAATATCAAACCAGTAAAGAGCTGCACACCTGGGACTGAAATCCACATCCTGTCACCGCCAGCTCAAGGTCTCTGAAATGTCAGCCGCAAATCTGAAACTATGACTCAGTATCATCGCGGATCCCTCTTCTTCTACACTGCCACCCTCTTCTTTGAACAGTTATACCAAATCTTCCTACCCTGTGTATTCCACCATGAGTCTCTCACTCTAAAGACATCCCCTCTTTCCACTTGAGCACTTCCATCTGTGACAAGGACAAGGACTTTAACACCGCTGTTAAAGTGACAGAATTCATGTTCATAAAGCAGATTGACCTGTTTGATAAACAGTGACGTAGTTTCTCAGGTAGCCTAAAAAGAGAACACCTACTGAGAACTATTTTAGCCAAGTCATTACTATTTCAGCATAAGGCTAGAAAGCTTCCTGTCCCAAAGCGTATCCCTCAGAATCAGGTAGGTCTGTGACAAAAGAACTTGGAAAATGTGGCATACAATGCTCCCCAAGTAGATTCATAATTAAAAGTTCAGAAAAGTACTAAAAGCAAATAAAACTGTTGAATCTTATTTAACCCAGAGTGTCCCAATGTATTTGACTAGAAAACCCTTTATTCATATAACACTTATAAATATTCTATGGCAAAACTAGTTTTCTATGCATAATAAACAAAAAAATTATAATTTAAAAATAAAATTGCCTTCTAAGAAGTCTACATATCAAATTAAAACAAAGAAGTAAAATTTCTGTACTTTTTTCCCAAAGCAGAGATAAGAGGGAGAAAAAAGGGGGTGGGGTAAAAAACCGGAGTTAATAGCCCACATTCAACAAGGCACATTACTAAGTTTTAATGTGGGGGAAAAAAAATATCTCAGTAAGTTAGGCAAAACAACATGTCAATATATTTAAAAACAACAATGTGAATGAATGCACTTAATGCCACAGAACTGTACACTTAATGGTTAAAACGCTAGGTTTTATGCTACCTATATTTATTTTTAAAGATAAAACTGTGCCATATACTGTTTCCCCAAAAATAAGACCTAGCTGGAGAATAAGCCGTAACATGATTTTAGGAGCCAAAATATGGCACCTTGGCATACTGAATATTTTAAGCTGATGGAGTTTGTGGAAAAGGCACCCTTCTCCCTGAAACAAGTCATAAAACCCTCATGTGAGCGGTGTGTGCCCTCCATATCCTGGAGGAATCATGTTACGGCTTATTCTCCAGCTAGGTCTTATTTTCAGGAAAACATGGTAGCATCACTAACACAAAAAAAACAATTACTAATAAGGTTCTAAATGGAAAAAAGGAAAAATAATAAAACTTTTAGAAGGAAATGTAATAGACCATCTTGATGTTGGAGTAAACTTTTCTTAAGACAAAAAGCATAAATCACAAATAGATTGATAAATTCAGCTACATTAAAATTAAGAATGTCTGCTTATCAACAGACACTGTAAAGAAAATGAAAAGTCCAACCACAAATTTGAAAGTATCTATGACACATATAACCAAAAGATTAATGTCTAGATTACATAAAAATTCCAATGGATGGAGTGCCATGACATCTACAATTTTTTTCCAACAGTTCAGAAAATAAACAAATGAATAAATGAATAATAAATAACATACATAGGGATATATACACACACATATTACAACAAAGCAAAGAAGGCAAAAGGCTAAAAACTTGAATCTAGGTAATAGAAATAAAGGTGATCACTATAGTATTTTTTTTCCTTTTCTAATATTTGAAACATTTTATAACAATAGGCTGGAGTGGGGTGTACAGAAGTCCTACATAAAAATGGGAAAAAATGGTTTTCTAAAGAGGAAACAGGGCCGGCCGAGTGGCGCGATGGTTAAGAACTCGCTTGGGATGCCAGAGGGCCCCGGTTCGGATCCCACATATGAGGGCCAGTGACACTGCCCTCTACAGCTAAGATGCTGAACAACAGCTCAACCTGGAGCTGGGCTGCCGTGAGTCGCTGGCGACGGCGTAGGCTGCAGTCCCTGTGGCAGTGGGTTGCCATGGACTACCGTGTGTAGCCAGCAGCCAGCGTGAGCGGCCAGCAGCCGCAGTGAGCGGCCGTCCAGAAGCCGGCGACTGATCTGCCTCGCCAGGGAAGAGCGCAATGATGGTGCCAACTTGGGCCAGTGAAGCAACGTCCTCCACAACTAGACTGAAGAACAAAAAAAACGACAGCAACTTGTCTGTTCCCCTTCCCCAATCCCCCAGCACTGTTCCCATCCCCTCAATTCCCCAATAAAAATCTTTAAAAAAAAAAAAAAAAAGAGGAAACAAAAAAACCTAAATAGAAAAAGATGGTCATCCTCATTAGTAATAAGGAAAATGCACATTAAAACTATTATGAGAAACCATTTAATGCTCATGAGATTGACAAAAATTTGATATACAAATGTTCGAGATGATGTGGGTTAATGGATACTCCTATACCCTTCTGTGGATGTATAACCTCTCAATCAATCAATCTCTCTCTCTCTCTCTCTCTCTCTCTCTCACACACACACACACACACACACACACACACGCGTATGTTGAGGTATATTCCAATAGCAACATACTAACACACTATAAAGTGGTATAGATGAGCTATTGTTTGCACAATCACTATGTATCAACAACCTCAACCTAACTTTGAGCAAAAGAATTAAGTCTCCAAAGAATCTGGTGCCATTCCATTTGTATGAAGTTCAGCCTTATGAGCCAATCAATAAAATATTTGGCAATTCAAACATGGAAATGTGATCAATAAAAATTTTTTTTTTAATAAAAATCTTAGGAATAACAGTCACTAAAGTCAGAATAGTGGCTACTCCTTGAAAGAAAGAACAAGCTGCAATCCAAGAGGAACAGAAAGAATCTTCAAAGCTACCAGTCCTTTTTCTTTTTTAAGGGAGTGCGTGAGAGTGTGAGCTTTTATCCACACACACATTTCACATATTCTTCTGTATATGAGATATATTTAAAAAAAAAAAAAAAAAAGAACCTCCACACAGGAATACCAGTAGGTGCTGGGAAAATAATTTTCTACATGCAAAAAAATTTTTAATTGTTGAAGATAAAAGGCTTAAAATTATTTACCTTCAAGTATGTCCTGAATACATTAGACATACACGAAAGAAGAGCTACAACTGAATTTTTTTTGTACAGAGAGGGATTTTTTTTAGATGGAATAATCACCCGTAATTTATCTGTTTCATAGCGACAATGTTAGTGTATATGCTGCCAGAACACACAGTAACTGCAGCTCAAATAGCATAAAATCTTCATAAATTAGAGAGTTCTGGACTTTCTTCCCTGTTTATGAAAAATACGCAAGACTTGCCATACATACAAAGAACAATAAAAGACAAGTATGTTACTAAAATATAAAACAATATTATTTTACAATAATTTAATAATACACATGGATATCAAACATTATTCTTCATATTATGTATACAATGAAAAATATGGGAGGGGTAGGGAGAAGATATTTATTAAGAGATACAACCTCATGGACTAGAATTAAAAATCTTTAGGAGGCATTAATCTAAGTTATAAAAATTGAAAATGCCAAGTTTTAAAAATTTCTTTTACACTAGTAAGGAATTCCTAGAAGACGCCTTTCTCCTTTGAGTTCCTACATTTTGTTCTTTTGCATTTATTTATTGACATACTCCACTTTATATTTTTATCTAATCTCCCACAATACATGGGATCTGAGTGTGGATAGAAATGTCACCTTCTTCATCTGTGAGTCCCCGAGTGTGCCTCGCTTGAGGCCCTGGATGATAAACCCATGCATGTCTTCTGACGATAGATAAAGATGACTTGATTCTCGTATTATTGATAAAGTACAATTTGCTGGCTTCATTCATATCCCATGACAACTGACTTCGTATAAACCCTACAGGCTAGAAGGTGTTCAGGCTTCACTTGGGGATCACTAGGGGAGAACCTTGTGGAGTATTTTACACCTGGAACGTTATTCCATCCTTTACCAGGCAGTAATAAACTCAAAAGGAAGATGTTTACTGTGACAAATTTTTTTCCTTTTGTAAGGAATGTGTTTAGCCTATGGCTTTGCCATGGGTGAAACAATGTCAAATGGTTTCAAGCAAACCGAAAATGCCAACCTTTTAGGTCAGTTACTAAAATGCGTTACATAGCCTCGCATAGGAGCTACACATGTGAATTGGTTGGTTAGCTGGTTTACAGCCATTAAAAGCAGCATGAGAAGGGATGTGAATAAACTGAAAAATCACATCACATAATAAATACTACTGAATATTAAAGCCAATGGATACTAGTAGAAGCTTCCCTGTTTCTGAACCACAAAATAGCATCCTGACAAGATAAGCATGGGCTTTCGGGGCTCACAGAAAATCCCCTGCAGACACCTGGCTTCCCAAACTGGCGTATCCATAACTTTCAAAGGGGAAAAGGATTAAGAATACGTTCTTAAAAGCCACATATGTTGTTTGTATTGGCTATCATCCTTTAAAAAGCAGGACATTTTAAAAAGTGAATGAGAACACTGGTTCATTTTTACACGTGCTCCACTGTAGGTCACTCGCTGAGGGTGGCTTGTCGGGATTATTTAAATTCAGGAGCGATACCTGGCTGACACGCGCCTGCACTGCTGCAGGCTACAACCCTCGCACAGCGCCCGAAGGGTTATTACAATTGGAGTCTACAGAGGACAACAAAGGAGGCTTACCCCTTCCCGAAGGCACCTCATTAGCACTGTGTACGTAGCCGAGGGAACGGCCCAGCAGTCTCTGGGGCTCTTTTTTTTTTCTTCCTAAAATGAAGTGGAAGGGAAAGTGGTGAAGCTAACAGCACAGAAGATATTTAACCCATTCAAGAAAAAGGCAGTTTCAAATGCACAAAACTATCTAAAACTTCCTACTGTTCTACTTAAAGTACTATTTACTACCTGACCATTATGATCTGGTTAGAGGTCTCTTCCTGCGTTGCCCATGCAGGTACTGCTTCCAGTTTTTCACTGTGTTATACATGAGGTTGATAAGATGCCTCATCAGAAGCTGGATGAAGAGAACTGAAAAATGACCATATGATCTGGCTGATAAACACCCTACTGGTAATTGGAGACGATAAGCCAGATACTCCTACCTAAATGGTACCGCATTAGGAATGATTTGAAAGGCACAGAAGATACAGTCTGAGCACTATCTCAGGATAACCCATAAGCACAAGTAAAAGGCAGTGTGTTACCTAGAAAGACAATGTGCTGGATAAAAATGAGCAATTAGGATTAGCAGGCACACTGATTTTAATGACATCAGCAATCAGTTCTCTCACAGAAAAACCAAGTTAGGGTCATAACCACAAGAACACTCCTGCAACATAGCAACTAAAATCACAAAATGATCAGGTACTACCCAGAAAGGTAAAATATAATTTCTATGAAAGCAAAAGAAATTAGGTGCTGCTTAGAGAAAATATTTCCTTAAGATTGTCCAAACGTTGGAACGGTACATTACCAATCCAAATGAATTTTATACCAATGAAGAGAATTGTGACACATTAAAACTGTACCCTTATTCACAGAACTCCACGTATGATCACAATCTAGACATTATCATTCCGAGCTTCTCCGGCTCGAAAATCACTAACTAATTCAGCACCCAATTTAACTTCCAAACACAACTTCCTTCCCCGCCAGCTCACTTACTCAGAACACCACTGCCTTTCCCTAACATCACAGGCCTCTGATGCTCCTCCCCCCACCACACACCCCTCTGCTTCCCCCCAGCCTATCACCTACCCTCCCTCCCTGGTCTATCAGTTACACACTCCTGCCCATAGCCTGAACCACTTTCCTGTCACGCAGCCAGCAGGTTCTCTCTAGCCCTTTTCCTTGGACCATAAGCTTCGTTCACTCAGCCCTCCTGTCTTGCTCTTTCCTGAAACACCCGCTTCTCTCTCCTGATTTTCTCCTACTTCACGTACTCTCACTTAGGTTCTCAGGCGCCTCTCTTACCACGCTCCAGTCTATTCTCTATCTTTTCGGCATTTAAGTCAGCATTACGCTTCTTTAAAGCCTTCATGACTTCCCCTGGCTCTTAGGACCTAGAGGAAGACACACGACTTGGCCAAGGGCTCCGCAGGACCATGTCCCTGCCAGCCTGCCCAGTCCAGTTCACACATGAAAAAAGCACCTACTGTGTGCCAGGACCTCTTCTAAACAATGGCCACACAGCCATGAGCAAGACACAAATGTTCTGCTTCAACAGTGCTTAGTAGGAAGACAGATTTTAAAAAGTAAACAAAACAAATAAGATAGTGATGAGTGGTACAAAGAAATACACGTCAACATGAGGGGTTAGAGGAAGACTGTAGCCAGGAAAAGGCTCTCTGAAGGGATCCACTGGAACAGAGAGAAAATGAGAACATGGGGGTCAGGGTGTGGGGGACATTGCAAGCCTGAGGAACAGCCAGTGCATGAATGCGGGAATGGTGGGTTCCGGGAGCCTACATTTCTATTTGCTCATATGTACAAAAGGAGCTCTATAAAGGTAAGTAAGGAAGTAGTTATAATAGTTATTTATTATGGAACTAGGCAGGTGGGGGACAAAAAGAGGCCAGAGACCTTTCCCTGTACACCTTAGTTTCCTAGCTTCATGAATGTGTTGTCTCTTCAAAACAGAAAATTAACCAAGAATAAATTCAACCAAACATAGATGCCCAAAACCTTTATGAATAGAATGAAATACAGTAAGTCCCCAACTTACGAACATTTGAGTTGCAAACTTGCACCGATATGAACGGACCTCGCATTACAAACATTCGCAGATGCGAACAAATCGTGGAAGTAGCTCCCGTGTCTGCTGGATGCTGTCACAGCTGTGCTGCTGTGTGCTTACTGTACAGTGCGATAGTGTACAGTAGTCCAGTGCTCAGTCAGAGCCCAGGATGTCCAGAAGCAAGAGGAAAAGCAGTGATGATGCGGAGGGGACTGCTAGGAAGCGCAAAGCAATAACCATGGAAACAAAAGTGAAAATAATTGAGAGACTGGACCGAGGCAAAAAGATGGTAGATGTTGCTCGTTCTTACATGAATCGTTCAACCACTGGCACAATTCTAAAGAACAAGGACAAGATGTGAAGTCTGCTGTACCAATGAAGTCAACAATACTATCCAAAAAGCGTGGTAAAGTGGTAGAGGAGATGGAGAAACTTCTCAGTGTGTGGATGCAGGATCAGCATCAAGTCCCACTCAGCTTAATGCTTATTCAAGAAAAAGCTAAAAGCCTGTTTGAAGACTGGAAGAAAAAACGGGGTGAACAGGGTGCATCTGTTACTGCCAGCCAGGGATGGTTTAACAGATTCCAGGCTAGAGCCAGCCTTCACAATGTAAAAGTAAGTGGTGAGGTTGCGAGTGCAGACACCATAGCTGCCCAAGAATTTCCAGCAACACTTAGAGAAATTCTTGATGAAGGTGCTTATTTACTCCAACAGGTTTTTAACGTCGATGAGACAGGACTTTACTGGAAGAGGATGCCGGAGCAAAGTTACATCAGCAAAAAGGAAAAGGTGATGCCAGGCTTCAAAGCAGCAAAGCACAGACTTACTCTGCTGTTTGGTGGCATTGCTTCCGGCGATACGAAACTAAAGCCTCTTAGTTTACCATTCAGAGAACTCAAGAGCCCTCAAAAACATAGCCAAGGGCTCTCTACCTGTTGTGTAGAAGAGTAACTTCAAAGCCTGGGTTACACAGGCCATTTTCCAGGACTGGATTTTCCACCACGTTATCCCAGAGATAGAGAAATACTGTTTGGAGAAAGATATCCCAATTCAACATTCTTTTGCTGCTTGACAACGCACTAGGTCACCCCCAATTCATGGATGACTTTCATCCCAATGTCAAAGTAGCGCATCTGCCACCGAATACTATCGCGCTCATCCAACCTATGGACCAAGGAGTTATTGTGACTTTCAAAAAATATTATTTATGTCACACTTTTCGTCAGGCAGTGAAGGTAACTGATGAAACAGAAACAACCTTGCGACAATTTTGGAAGGACTATAACATCTACAAGGCCATAAAAAACATCAACTTTGCTTGGCGTGAGGTTTCCGCTGTCACCATGAATGGGGTTTGGAAGAAAGAACCTTTGCCCACAGTTTGTTCATGAAGTTCACAGACTTGAGAAGATGGGTAAGGAGTCCAAAGAGGTCTTCAACAACTTAGGAACCCTTAGCAAGAAGCTGGAACTAGATCTGCAAGAGAACAACTTCACTGAACTCCTTGCTGGGCAACACAAGGAGCTTACTGATGAGGACCTGATGGAATTAGAGGCCCAGCGAAAAGACGAAGAGAGCCGAGAGGAAGATGTAACTGAAGAACCAAAGAGATTCCCAACACAGGAAATGGCAAGGGGATTTTCTTTACTTGCAAGAGGCACTGTTAGTTTTTGAGGCACAGGACCCCAACGTAGAATGATACACAAAGGCTGCAGCAGCCGTTCAGAATGCCATCCAGTGCTACAGAGTCATCTATGATGAGAAAAAAAGAGCTACTATTCAGACATCGCTGGATCATTTTTTCATGGGGGTAGACAGAATTGAATCCATCAAAACACCGGTGTGAACACCATCAATATCCGGTGTGAGCGAAATTCCAGCTTGTCCTCCATGTCCTATTGCTGATGATCCTTGAGCTCCACCATCTCTCACCTACCCTCCCTCCTCCAGTTAGTAACTCTCTTGTCAGTTCGCTCCACGCAATCCCCTATATATATGTCAGTTGTTGTACTGTACTGTACGACCATTTTAAGGTAAGTGTAAAAGTAAAAATAGTTTATTTACAGTATTTTGTGTGTGTGTTTAGTTTTTTTATGCTTTACATTGTATATTTGTGTCAAAAGGTGCATAAGACTCACTTTGTCAGGCTTGCGAACAAATCTGACTTACAAACATTCTCCCGGAATGGAACTCATTCATAAGTCGGGCGGCTTACTGTAACTTTACTGAAAATATTTTGAAAAATATACACATATGGAAATGCCATTGTTTGTGCCGTGGAGGACAAAATACCATAAATATAGCAATATTCTCCTAAGTGACTGATACCCAGATTCATTACAATTCCAAATATGCACTGGAAGACTCAAAATTATGAAGGTATCAGTACTTCCCAAATTGACGTGCACAGCCAATGCAGTGTTGTTTTTTTTAAATGATTTACAGAATTGAACAACCTGATTCTAAAATTTATACTGAGATGCGAAGGACTGGGAATAGCCAAGACATTTATGAAAAGGAAGAATAAGGAGAGATGCTGTGCTAGCTATCATACTAATTATGGAGCTAAATGATCTTAAATACATGTGTTTTATCACAATTATAGTAATTGCCTGAAAATGATGATTGTCCAGAAAGTCAGTTTAATTTACATACTAAGGATACTCAGGTTATTTAACATTTAGGCAAGTTCTAGAACCAAAACAGAATTATAATGAGAGAACTTCCTGATTCACTTATAACTTACCGGTGCTTATTTAAAACTCTCAAATGAAATGACTAACTCATAATTTATCAATATCTATTCAATAATATTCTAAAAAAACACACTCATGAAACATGAAGTTTTCCTTGGTGGAATTCAATAGCACTTCCATACTGTAACTTAAGAAAGAGGAAGTCGAATTCTGCCAATCGCAAATTCTCATGGTCATGTGAAGAGCTATAGTTGCACAATGTAGTGTTTTAAACTGAAATAGAACTTTTATACTGGGAGAAACAAAGGCCAACCTCCTCTTGCCTAAAGGAGTCTAAAAGATGGCTGCAACCTAGGGAGAATTTTTGGACTTTCGCTCCATAGGTTTTAAAATATGACCTGAGAATCTCTTACACTTTAAAGTAAAAAAAGGCACTGGGAGAGAAGGAAGATGACTGACAGAGAGACAGACAGGGAGAGATAGACAGATAGTCACTGTTAGTCTCTCTCGTCCAGAAGTAAAATTTCTCCTAAGTTCCTCAGGCATGCTCCAAGGGGCAAAGTCAAAACACTTTTAGAGGATATTAATACATGTCAGCCCGGATATGTCAGAACATGTCAGAAAGCAACACAGTTAACCAGACAGTCTCACCTGGGTAGCTACGAGACAGATCAGCTCCCCGAGGGTTGGTAGAAGGCACTGTTTTAATTTGCTGTTCCTGAAGTTTTCCCTAATTAACTCAGTTAAGAGAGTAATTGCCTGAAAAGAGAAAAAAGTATATTATTTCATATTATCTCTCAGTTCTTTAACCTGTATGCAAAAGGCAAGACACTCTACAATATTCACTACCCATTTTTAAGAACCAGTTTCCAAATTATTTTCCAACATGTTGGTCTTATTTCTGATTAAAAAAAAAAATAGTAACTCTCCCAGGTGAAGTTAAAAATACATCCAGTGACATAAACTCTCATCTGTGTAGCACTAATCTGTTACCAAGCACTTTCCCGTATCACTGATCCAGTAAGGCACCTGTTGCTCTATCTTTAGATGGGAAACTGAGGCTGACAGAGGTCCAGCAACCCCCGATCCAGCTCACTGGAACAGCAAGATCTGAAGACAGATCTTACCACGCCGAGTCCCCTTACCACACTCCAGCACACCTCAGTTTGATAAATTCCTGCATTGCATTCAACTTTTAAGTGATTCCTTTGAAAATCTGAGAGTAGAAATACTATGCCAAAGTTTCAATATAATCCACTTTGAAATTCAGCAGCCTATTTTATCAGATCTAGTTACTTTCCTAGGAGTTGTACTAAGAAAATCATATGCTCTCATTGCCAGAATTCATACACCAGAACTCAGGTTAATCAAATCACAGTGTGGCCATGAAGTACAGTGACTATTTCAGAATGATACAGAAAGAATGGCCCCATTCTGAGACTGGAAAATAACATATATAAGATAGTGTGGGAGCACTGCTCTAAAACAGTGTGACTCAAAGTACACAGACAGACAGGCTATTTCTTACCATCCACTAAGATTTGAGAATAAAAATTGAAAACAAGCATTTAAAAAATTCCAGAGCAATTTGACAGTGATACAACATCCAAGCACGTGATCGCTGGTCTCATTTTGCAAAGAACAGTACAGAGGGGCTGGAGTTGCATGGGGGGGCAACTGCACAACAGTCATGCCCTGGAGGTACGTTTGGTGATGTGGTATTTTTTCAAATGGTTTTATTGTTATAACTGACATACCATAAACTGCATATATTTACAGTGTTCAATTAGATACATTTGATATAGGTACATCTGGGAAATCATCACCATGATCAAGATAGCAAGGCAGAACCATACTGCAGAATACTACTGCACAATAAAAAATTACTACACAACAACAAACTATTGATACGTGCAGCAACCTGGATGAATCTCCAGCAAACTGCGCTAAATGAAAAGAACCAATCCCAAAAGGTTATATNCCAATTCATTAAAAGGCTAAATAACACAGTGTCAATATCTTAAGTCAAGAACTCTTAGGAGATTTCACTCTTTTGAGCAAGTAACTCACAAAATGTGATTAACCTACAAAAAAAAAAAACAAAATAGGACAGAACAGGCAAAAATAAATTTTGAAAATGAGATTAATCTCAAAACAAGAATGTTGCACAATGAATAACACAATGAAAGCAGTGACTCTGTTGAAAAAAGAGAAAAATGCACTGGCAAGTAATGACTGTTAAATACATCGATTATCCTGTCATGAACCAACTAAAACTGTGCGTTGTAATTGAGGAAAAGGTTAACACATGAGAGTTATAGTCCATATAATTTTAAAGATTGTTTCCTGACTGTATACTTAACACAGCAGTTAAAGTGACTGCAAAGGGAAAATGTGTACCTTTACAAGGGTGATATTTGCCATCACCTCTTTAATCAAGCAATCAAAGTCAGTATAAGTAATAGGGGAAACCTGACCCCATGTGCTTCCTGATATGATGAAATTGTAGACCTCACTTGCAGTTTATAGGAAATTGAGGGACTAGAGGATCAAGTTTAATGATACCAAGAGATCACAAGCAGATGAATCCATGGTGTGGACCATTCTATGAGACAAGTGGCTTGGACTCCAAGAAATCAATGTCATGGAGGGTGAGGGCAAATGGGGAGATGAATCTAGAAAAAAATATTAGCCAAAAGAATCAAACAGTACATTATAAAAATGTAATACAACTAAAAACGCAAGGGTGGTTTAATTTTAGGGATGCCACTCAAATAATCCACCTATTAACAGATAGAAAGATATGCGATCACCTTTATAGATACCACATAAGCAAATTCAACCATTCATGTAAAAAATACAGAACTTGGTAGATACTTATTTAACATAATTTTAAACCAAAACCAAGTATTAATGAGAATACAGAGCACTGAAAATTCTTTGGTTGGTGGGAGGATTTTCAATTTACACAACTTTCTGGGAAAACAGTTTAGATTACCCTCTAAAGCTGAACATACACATACCCTATGACCTAGTATTTCTAACTCCTAGATTTACCCAATAAGAAGCTCACATAAGTGTATGAAAACGTGTGTGCAAGAGCTGTTTATAATAGCCCAAGAGCTGTTTATAATAGCCCAATACAAAAACAACCCAAATACCCATCACTTGGTGGTGTGGTATATTCATGTAATGAAAATTAACTGCCGATACCTAATAACAAGGATGAATTCCACAGACATAACATGGAACAAAGCCAGATACCAAAGAATACATCACAATTCAATTTAAATAAAATTCAAAAGCAGGCAAAATAATCAATAAAACTATGGCGCTAGTCACCCTTAGAGCACACGGAGAAACTAGTGACGGGGACGCATAAGGGGCCTCTTGGTGTGCAGACAGTGTTCTGTGTCTTCTCCAGTGGCAGTTTCCTGGATTTTCGTTCTGTGATAATTCATTGAACGTGACATTTATGTTTTGTACACGTTTCTGTATATTTGTAACCTTTCAGTAAAAAAGGATAATAATTTTTAAACCAAAATGAAGCACAAAGTAATCCCTAAATATCTAAAACAAATTGAAAAATATATAATTATAAATCATATTAGTGAGAGGAGTACAAAGTGAAGAATTATTTGAATTGATCTGAAAACTCAGTATTTTGACTGTACGTATCACCCATTGGATTACATCCCAAAGACCAAAAAATAAAAAAGCACAAAAATATCTTAAGCTGTAGTTTGTAGCTTTATTATCAGTAATAATATTGGTAATATTTTAAAACTATTCTAAATGATAAGTCAAAGAAAATAAGTAATTATGTTAATGTCATTAGCAACCAAGATTTTCAGCTTATGAGAAGAAAAGTAATTTTAAATCAAAACATTCAAAACTCTAATCTTAAATATGAATTGGAAGTCTCAGCATGAACAAATGTGATTTTTCTTTTTAAGAAATATTTCTTAGCACTAACCCTTGAAAAGTTCTAGAAGAAATGACAATCCCAGCAGCAATGAATACCCCCACCAGACTGTTCTCTAAGTACTATTTCCAATTAAACAAGGTTCCTTATAGAATTCATTTCTATAAGAACTAAGGCTGACTGTTCTCAAGATGAGCCTGTGAAGTCTTGCTGACAGAAAGCAAATGAGTTATTATTACAGACAGTAGCAGGGTCATGTTGAAACGAGTGAGGAGCAAACTTGCAAAGGCTCCCATTGCAGTGAGATGGAACCATTTCAGCATCAAAAAGACTAATGACTACGAAAGACTGAAATATATAAGCCCATTAAGTTCTTAATAATACAAAAATCTCACTGGACAGTTATTGAGATTACTAAGGCAACAACTCATTATTCTGCAAATTGGTTTATAAAAGGAAATATTTATCCTGCCTTTGCTCAACAAACTATATTTTAGCATAACCAACTAGTTGATATGGAAAAGTCTTCTATAAGAAAAATTCCCAGCTATCAATTAGAAAGGAACTATCGAATGAGAAAATCATCATTTTTGCAACCCTAACGGATTAACACATCTAAGCAACGATCATCAACGGATGCTACATCTATGACATAAAAGAGTGATGGGCAAGTTCATAATGACAAGGCTGACAACACCTGAAACCAGTGAGCAACCGTAACATTACGAGACAACCAGGCAGTAGGGAATACACAGCACCAAAAAGAAGAATTCCTACCCTCCCTCTATAAACCTGAACTTGAATCTAATCAAGGCTACACATCTTACCAGCAGTTCACAGGAAATGCTGGTGAGAGAGGGACAAGTTAAAAGACACCAAAAGGGTAGAATAAAATTTCTGACATTCCAGCTTTGGTTAAAATAAATGTCGATTTGTCTTTAATAAATAAATGGCACAAAAAAATAATAGAGAAATGTTTGAAATTAAGAGACTTAAGAGTCATATTATCTAAATGCAATACAGAATCCAATTAAAAAATGGGCAGAGGACTTGAATACACATTTCTCCAAAGAGGACATACAGATGGCCAATAGACATATGAAAAGGTTCTCAACATCACTAATCATCAGCAAAATGCAAATAAAAACCATAATGAGATATCACCTCACACTCGTTAGAATGGCTATCATCAACAAGACATCAATAAGAACAAGTGTTGGGNAAATGTGGAAATGGTTCTAGAAAGTTCAACCTGTCCCAACCGGCCCTCCCAGGTGGGCCTGAAAAACATGCCTGGCGAAGGGAGGGTGTGAGGGGGACCACGGCCTCTTTGAGAAGCTGAGGCAGCTATCCTTTACGAGCCAGAAATGACAGTGGAAATACTGACAATAGACTGGATTCTCTGATGACAATGGGCACAATGGGATTCCGCAAGGGACCAATGGCAGCATTTAACTCCAGACACAGGTGGGCATAGAGAGTGATGGGACAGTTTGGAGAGCAGAGTATTCTGACCCACCAGAATCCGAGACAATGGTAAACTGGCCATGAAATTCGCCTGCTAAATTGATGCTTGGCATATAGTAAGAAAACATCTAGGTTTATTGGGCAGAAACCTAACAAGAATCCCTGTATGAAGGATTCACAGCCTTGTATCCAGATCCCACACCCAAGCTGGTTCAGAGACAGAGCTCCTTCACAAAGCTGGAGGTCCCTTTAAAAGAGAGCCCTCCAAAGCAGCCACAGGAGAATGCTGTGAATCTTCCCCAACACTGTCCTTCCCCAGAGGGCTCTTGGCCACTTTCCATGTGACTGAGCACCGGGAAAGGGGAAA